GCCCCCCCTGCCCCTTCCAAAGCTCACTACCCACAGCACCCCCTGCATCTTTACCAGCTTGGCCTGGACCCTGTGTGGACACAGGTATCCCAGCCTGATGGTGGGGCCATCAGCTCAACATCCCCCCACCACACCTCACTCCAGCTGCAGCTCTGGGAGGAAGCAGCCACAAAGGAAAGCAAGCAGAAAACCCACCCTGTGCTGCTCCTCCCCTCCACCGCGGAGCCAACAGCAGCACGCACCAGGCTGCAAGTGTTGCTGCCTCGAAAGCTGTTCACTGTTTTTTACGTGCCAAACCCACATGTTGCCTTGCTGCAGACCATGGCATCTACCCTGGAGAAGTTCATTCATTCTCTGGACCCTAGAGCCCTTCCCAGGGTCCTCCAAATCCAGTCAGGCATCTATTTCCAAGGTGAGTATCGGGTGCTTTCTGGCAGGGCTTTGCAAGTCTGTGTTTGACATCAGGTCCTCTTTGCAACCAGGATGTGAGGGGGGGCAGAGGGAGGATGCTGGCAGAGTTGTCACCCAGCAGTTTCCAACCAGCTGCAATTTTCCCTTTGAAGAACCAGTGTAATGAACAACAGCTTTGGAGATGTCTATGGTAGGTGTGCATCTGGTCTTCTCACTAACCTGTTGTTAGTCCTCCTTGTATCCTGCAGAGAGTACTGGAACAAGTCATGAATTTGCTTTGCACTCACACGGTGCCATCAATCCAGCAACCACAAATAACCTCACAGAGGCTAATTGCTTAAACCTAGCTCTGCTCTTCAGGGACTGGTATGGAGAGGCGCTCTTTGTCTCTGAAATAAAGAACCAGGGAGTCTGGAAAGTGACTGTGAGGGACCATAAGGTTTTGCTGATATTCTGCTGAGCATTTGAGGGCATTTCAGGTAGTGAAATAATACAAAAGGGTGAATATGAGCCAGACAGGACTATCCCAGGGGCAATATTTTGCTGAGTTTTTCTGCCGGAGATTTTTTTTTTGTGGTGTTCTTAGTGCTGTGCTCTGCTTGTGCACAAAACACAATGGAAGGCTGGTAAAGGGGCTTGCACTGAAAGGAAAAGTTCTATACTTGCTCAGGTCATGAGCTTTGTTTAGTGACAGTGAAAAAACATGGGTCTCAAACCTATGGATCAGTCTAGGAAAAGAGAGTTACTTCCCTGCCACTGCAAGGTAAAACTTGGGGTCATACTGAACAAACCAAAGAGGGCTTAATGAAATGAGCTGAAGCTTGCTTCAGTCAAATATCTGCTTCAGGATCCACAATATCTATCTATCTATCTATCTATCTATCTATCTATCTATCTATCTATCTATCGTTTTATATTTTTCTTATTTTACTGTTAATCTAAAAATCCTCACACACTGCTGCATAGGAAGAGAGAGGAGGTGGCTGCTCTTAGCTGTGCCCATGGAAACTCTGAGCTGCAGCCAGAGCAGGCAATTCTTCTCTCCACAAGAGCAGTATCTTGGGGTGAAAAGAAAATGGGAAAGGGCATACTTCAGCTGTGATGGTAGTGCACTGGCCATGTTTGCCCAATTGCCCATCATGGCTGCTCTGGAAACTGTAGGACACATGAATAGTGAGTATTGAGTAGTGATACTCAAAAAGGCCATTATGCAGGGCGGGGGGGGGGGGGGGGGGAAGGAAAAAAAACAACAACAAAACAGCTTGGCCAAAACTACCAGAAACTTTTCAAAATATGCTTTTTCTGACCTTTGATATGTGGCCTGTCCAAATTTATGTTTTAAATTGGCTCAAGAACTTGAACTGAATTGCATCCTTGGTAAGGAGTCCTGATGAATAGTGGGATTTAAACTAAAGACAGATAAATCACGTGCTTATGCTGGCATAGCCATCATATATGTCTCTTTGCACATGCCAAGGAAGCAGAGGTAATAAAAATACAAGTTGTATATACATGCGTATATGTAAGTATGTATGTGTGTACACAAGATACTCTCAGATATACATGTATATACAAAATACTATGATAAAAATTATGGGATGATAGCCCAGATGTCAACAGGTTTCTGAGTTCCTACTGTCTGCATCCTGCTGATAGCAGATGGTAAAACTCCTACCAGTACACCTTTGGAGCCAAGGTACTTCAGCTGCTCCTCCCTTTTACTGTGTAAACTCTTCCACATGAGAAAAAAAAATTGTGGAGACTTAGCCCACAGATCATTCTGCAGCAATGTCCTTGCATGTGAAAAAGAAAGGCTAGTAGACTTGGACAGTCTATAATAAAAGAGCCTGCACAGCCTTGGGATGGGGCAGCATGTGCTCTAGAGACCTGGGAACGTTTGCACTAAAAGCTAGAGCCCTTGTGCTGCTCTGATGCTTCTTCTCTCTTCAGCAGCATCATCTCTTCTGTCCCTGCTCCTGGAGGCTTCTTCTCAGCTGTTTGCAGGTGTGTTTCCACTATCAGACTAGAAGCAGCACAAAGATACATGCAGGTGTTTCTTGCTTATACAACTAGCAAGGCTGACACAGGTGTGCTGCTTGGCTCCTTCCCCTCACAGTCAGCACATCCCCAAAATACTTGCAATTACGTAGAAACACTGATGTCCACCAGCAGGCACTTCTTGGTTCCTCTCTCTGCTCCTTCCTTGCTTCAGAGGAAGCTTGGCACGCTCTGTGCCTGATAGTTTTGGAGGACCTAGGGTTACAAAATATCTTCTCAGGCCAGACTCTCCCTTCCTCTCCCTCTGTCCTTGAGCTCTCTGTCTGTGTTGGATTCCTCCTGAACATTTTGCTCCCCTCCCTAGCTGTCAGCAGGAGTGAGCACACTGTAGTGTGATTGCATTGTGATTTATGTTGCATTTTCTGAGGTAAGAGTAGCGCCTCAGAGAGAGCCTGAAGTAACTCCTGTTATATTGCTAAACAGGAGAGTGGACCACTCGGAGCACTTCGACTTTCCATTAGGACAACCGTTCTTTAGCCTTTCCTCAGGCAGATCCCCTTGCTCCCCCAGCAACCCTTTTGATTTCTCTTATTGCATACAGTACATCAGCAATCAAGTTGTGGGTAATGGCAGGTCTATTGACAAGGTGTGTGGGTTTATTGCTATGGTTGCAGGGACCAAATCAGAGCATTTGTGCACTGATTGTAGCAGCTCCCAGCTGGCTGCAAAGTCAGCCTGGTCAGCAGAGTCTTACATGGATCAGTGCTTTTATGGAGTTGGATTTCATAGGAATCTTGAACCATTCTCAGCACAACATGCAGAAGGGAAAAGATTTCTCTTTCAAGCATTACTTGGGATGATTTGAAACTGAGCAGTCACAAAGGATAATTACTTTTCTGGTGTAAGAATTTTAAATAGCAACAATTTGTACATATTTGCATGCTACATATATTCTCCTCTCCAGAACCCCAGAAAAAAGTGCAAGTTTTCTTAATGTCAGTTTAATCAGGTACATAGAATGGCTAACGGAGCAAATAATGGTCTACTAAATCCATTAGAGTTGTTACATCAAAGTTATAACAGTCCATCAAAGAAGACTATAGCAATCTATGTGGTAAGATGACAGCCAAATATGATTCATTCTTTGGTCTTCTCTGGTGGACTGTGTGCTGTAGGGATGAACCTCTTCATTTACTCTATCTGGAAGCAACATTTTCCACACACTGCATTTAGGTCTAAGTGATTTTACAAATGTAGGACTTCCAAATTAGCCCTAGTGTTTTTGATAGATTTTCAGTGCCTCTGGAAGTATAATGAAAACAAAATGCTGTAAGTCCTTGTAAGGATGGGTGTATCTTTTTCTATGTGGTGAGATATTTTTATTAGAAGCTGCAAAGTTGGCAAGGTAAAAGCTCTAAAAGATCCCATTCTACCTTCATAACCCTGCTACACCAATGCAATCTACATCTCTGTTTTCAGATCTAAGCCTGCCTGCTGCAGTTCTGGGTGGAGAGTAAGTTGAAAACATATAATGTGTGCATCCATTTCATCATTAGT